TCTGGGGCCGCGTGCGCAGCAAGCTCCTCCGCCAGAAGGTGCCTGAGGGGCCGGAGTGGGTCGGAGCGGGTGGACTAGAGGGAGCTGGGCTGGGGAGGGGGGTGCTGCGCCGCTCGGCACCCCTTTTTTGGAGCTCACTGCGCCTCCTGCCTGACTGGACAGAATCTGAGGTATGCTGTAGGTCGGCTCTAAGTGGCCTTAATTTTCTGATTAATGCTTTTGCTACCCCCATCCCAAACCCGGGCTGCTTTCTCTGCATCTGTCCCTGTCTGAAGAAAAGGAGAAGGGGGTCTCCCGTGATAAAGGACTGCCTGGCTCCTTTTTGCGTCTCTATGGACAGAAATAGGAACAGACCAGGCCAGGGGCTCCTGGGTCTCAGTTTCCCCCGCAGCGCCCAGCCCAGGCCCCACCCACTGTGTCCAGCGGACATTGTTGGCTGCCCCTTTGCTGGGGGGCACCAGCAGGAGCACCTCAGCACCACCAGCCTTGTGGGGTTCCTTTGTGCAGGATTGTGGGCATCATTCTCCAGCAGGGAAGAAGGGGAGGGTTGTGGGGAGGTCGTCATGCTGCTGAGTCTGGGGGCTATAGGCTGCCTCTTCAGGGACCACCCAGAGGACTGCTGGCCCGGTGCCAGCCAGGCACCAGGCAACTCAATCAGTGTGCCAGGGGTTTCCTGACCCAGCGGGCAGCTCAGACCAAGCTGTGCCAGGGCAGACTGCCCATCCTGCCTGCTGCCCCAGACCTGGGTGGGGATGAAAATCTGAGATAGAAGCTGACTGTCCTGCAGCTGGGCAGGCTGCCCCAGGGCTGGCTTTGAGTCCTGGCATCGGGCATCCAAGGAACAGCCAGACTAGTGCCCAGGACACAGTAAGCACTTGATAACTGTAGACCAAATGAACTGCCAAAGCAAAATGTCACAGGGTGCTGTCCTGGCTAGCCAGGGCCATGCTCATCCTTCAAGGTAGTGATAAGGAAGGCTGTGGCTAGTCTGTGTGGCTGATGGGGATTTGTAAGCCCTCCGTGGCTCAGAGGGAGACCCTCTGCTCAGGTCCTTGCTGCCAGCCAGCACAGAGGCTCCTGGCACCTGCGAAGAGGAAATGATCTTGGGCCCATTGGCTCCTTGTCTAGTTTCATCCCCTGCCAGTGGGGCATACTTGACCTCCCAGAGGTGACATCAGTCCTGGAAAGTGCCAGGCAGGGCAGCAACTTGAGCTGTCCTGTGTTGGCCCCTGTGTCACCTTCCACCTCTCCAGGGACCAGGCTAGCAGAGCCCTGCTGGCCTCAGCTGCTATCAGAGCCCCTCTGTGCTGAGGCAGCTGTCTGTGCCCGGCAGCATGGAGCCATCCCCTGCCTGTACCCCCTCCTAGCCACTGCTGAGGCCAGCAGACACCAACCCAAGGCTCATTGTCCACTTCCAGACCTGGAGGCTGGCAAGAAAGGGACCCAGCAGGTTCCTGGCCCTGTGCCAGCCAGAATCCTTCTGGTTTACCTGCCCCTTTGGGCAGGGGCCTGGCAGGTAG